CGTGATTCACCAAACACTTCTGGCAAAGAAATGGTGGTGTACCAAACAGAATTGACCGTTCTACGATCCTCTAGTGGAACGGTTGCTACATGTCCATTTATCGTGAAAAATGAATATAGCTCAAACATCACATTTTTACAAAAATCAGAAAAAAATGAAGTTTGTCGAAAATTTGTCATATACGAGAATCGAGATTTTTATTTCTAATCCGACCGTCGTGAAACTTTGGAAAACTTAATTTTCTGCCAAAAAAATGATCCAGACAAAATTTCATGACTATTGGTGCATAAATGATTATAGCTCAAATTTCACAATATTACCAAAAATCACAAAAAAAGGAAGTTTTTCGAAAATGTGTCATATTCGAGATTTTTATTTTTAATCCGATCGTCGTGAAACTTTGGGAAACTTAATTTTCTGCCAAAAAATGATCTAGACAAAAATTCATAACGATTGGTGCATAAACGAACATGCTCAAATTTCACATTTTTACAAAAATCACAAAAAAAATGAAGTTTGTCGAAAATGTGTCATATTCGAGAATCGAGATTTTTATTTTTAATCCGATCGTCGTGAAACTTTGGGAAACTTATTTTTCTGCCAAAAAAATAATCTAGACAAAATTTCAAGACGATTGGTGCATAAATGAATATAGCTCAAATTTCACATTTTCACAAAAATCACAAAAAAATTAAGTTCTTCGAAAATTTGTCATGTTCGTAGCCAACAGTATTTTAGTAGATTCTAGTATACTTTTAGTTTTGTATAGTAAAAATGTATATCTACCCCCTAGATTCTAACGTAACTAGGAAAACAAGCAAAAAATTAAGATTTTTTTTATTTCAAAGCTGAACACACTTGGGTTGGAATTATTTAAACAAAAATTTAATTATTCAACAAAAATTATCTATAAAATACAGGTTTTTGAGTTTTTGCATCAGTCCACGCGTCTTTTGGTAGTGTTTAAATATGACGAATTTCATCCATTTTCAGCTTCTTTTCTTCACAGAAAAACAAATGACAGTATGTTGTTAAATAAAATGCCTCTGGACCAAGTGCACTTATTCAAATATAAAGTTAGTTTAGTTGGTCATTCTATCGAAATTAATGTTATGCGTATCTCCATATGAGCACATAGATGAGTCGAAAAATTGCTTTAATTCATTACACTTTGCATAAAAAGGCAAGACCACAGATTTGGCCGGCTGCCGCGAGGGTTCATTTCATTAATGTATCTGAAAGACAAAATCTTTCAATTTGAACTTCAGAATTTTATGTGCAATTTTGATGAGTTATTGAGATATTTTGTCGTAAAAATATTCGTGATGTAAGCATCGATGACACTACTTTAGTTTTATCGTATTTCAAAAAAGGTTTATGTGCTCATTGTTATTCCATGCACTTTATTAGATTAATTTGATAAAATAATAATGGTCAAATATATTTTATAGTTGAAGCCGTTAATTTTAAGATCTTAAAGTTTATGGTCGATAAATAGATTTTCGGTCGAACAACTATAAGAAAATGGATGATAAAATACCAAAAAGGATTATAAAATTAGATTCATTAATCATGCAATACACATATATACAACAGTATTTGTCCCAACTTGAATGTCTGGCAAAATGTGAACAAAACAAAAAACAACAGACAGATGATTATTGTATGATAAGACGATAAAGTTTCTGTTCATGGCCCATGAAATGATTCAATATCAAGAGACGAAATTAACCATCGAATCATCATTGTATTTTGGTTCTAGTGTCGACGATAAATTTGAAGAATATTAAACATAAAGACCATTGTCATCCAGAATGAGTTAATTGCAATTTTGAGTGAATCTAACAACATGAATCGCACGAAATGTTCATGCAATTGTTTGAACACGACCTTTAGTTTAAGCGAATGAAAAATCACGTAAAATCCATTGGAATGAATAATTGAGAGAAACCGCAATGGATACCGTGCGGTCTTCAATTTCTGAAATTGTGTTCGTGTTTTTGTGTACATCCATTTCGTGAAAAATACCCAATGAGGCGTGAGCAAGAGTTAAAAAAGTATAACGGATTAGGAAAAATTTCGGATTAGGAAAAATTTCAGAACCCACTTTAACTGAAGCGATTACATTAATTATGTTTTTTTTTTTGCAAAACAGTTCCTTCGACACATCAACATCCTTCAACTCCAGATGTGTGCATAAATTCTTGTTTATCATCCGAATTTTCGCACCGAATATCCCGCTGGGGATCATTTTCTCTTCACCGGTTTTTTTCTCATCTCTCTTCGAACACTTCATGTGGTATACAATAAGAGAATGGAATTTTGCATATATCAGAATGGAAATCCGAAAAGTAGAACAAAAAATGCATATCCATTAATCCATTCACATCAAATCGCTTTTGTTTTTCGTTGAGTGCCTTTTGCTACCCCCCCCTCCCACATACATACTCACACACATTCCGTTCGGTTGTGTTTTTGTGAATTTGGTTTTTTTTTCATGTATAAAGTGTACACACAATGAACTCCGTAAATCGAATCGGCAAAAATCAAAGAGCGAGACAAAGATAGAATGAGAGCTAAAAAAAGAGCATGACATAGATGAACGACACAATGGTCCAATTTGTGTGTCAAAGCCCGTGTGTGTGTGTGTGCATTGTACATCGATGATATAAAAGCTATTGGTACAGTGGTTGTGAACCGTATTATTCCGCTATTTTATACATCGTTTATCGGTAATGGAATGCACATGATTGATTTATGTTAATGTGATTGATTGTGCCGAGGTGATGATGAACAGTTTTTGTTTGGGGTATGTTATTTGTTTTGTTTGACTGTTTTTGTTGTTTTGTGACCGTTACTCAACGCGATTGCTAAACGTATTTTTATCTATCCATCAAAAGAAGGTGCTATCGAGTGTTGCTTCGAGTGCGTGTGAAAAATGAGAGATATTTACCAATTTCGCACCTATACACCATATCGCCTTACATAACTTCTATCCTTCAATCGACACATGAAATATCAAACCGACATTCCGAACCATCGAATTGACACAATGAAAAACACACCAACGCACTTAATCAATCCTTCAATTAATTCACACACATTGATATCCACTCAATTTAAATTGCGTTCGAGCTCTTAACATTGCCACCAATCAATGTGTGCAATATACAAAGAGATTCGACGTTTGTCAAGCCAGATGAATGTGACCAGATGTTTATTTCGGTTTTCACCGAAAAATTTCCATTCTAAGCATGAGGTCGGGATATGAAAATAAGTAAAAATAAAATTACAAAAAAAGCTTGTAAAATAAGTTGTTCAACAAAAAAAAGGGGCCCAATAGTTTGTCGAATCTTAAGTAAATTATCATTTCATTAGAAATTTTACGTGCCCCTCCAACAATTTTACCAACCGTTCGGCAATAAAAATAAACACTAATTTCCCCTTCGTTTCGTTCCACTTGAATAAATTCACGGAAAAACATTCGATTGTGCAAATTCCCCTCCATTTGACACCTGAAAGCAAGAGAGTGGATTTCTGCCGCACAACATTCTCTTCTGTTTCAAAGAGAGAGTCTCACTCGAGCCGGTTTGCCAAAGCCGTTCCATTTCGTGTTTTAAAGCGGCATTCAAAGTGATGTGGTTCCATGACCGCCAAGGCATATAATGCCATATGGATAACGGCTTTTGCTCATTTATTTCTGGGCAACGGCTCACATTCATGTCAACTGAATGTGTAAAGGCGCATGCGTTTGTTATGTCAATTTTGAACAAATCACTTTCTATAAACAATGCAAAGCGAATGACGTAAACAAACTGCATTCGTGACCAATCTGGCCATGATCATTAACACTCTAGACAAAATAAAACGCAAATTGAAAATAAACATATATAGATTTATAATTTTTTTTACATAGAACCAAATTGTTGTTGACTAATTCATAGCATATTACAAAATACCGTATATATTTTTGTATTGGGTGTGTGTATATATAATATCTTAAATTAGAAAGAAAAAGAAAGTTTGTAATCAAAGTGTTTATCAGCAAACAGATTGTGATTCCAAGATGTTGATAAAGCGCCAAACAAACCAGTTTGAATCAGTTAAATAAAACAAAAATGGTAAATTTAAAAAAAAAAAGTCGGAAGAACAAAAAAAAAACCGAAGAGGACACAACGTTTCTGAAACGAGACTGATGAATCATACTAATAAACAATGAAAGTAAATACTCTTAAAGTTCCCTTAAGGCATGAAAAAAATACACGTGGACACTATAAACTGTCTTCTATTTGTGCAAGAGAAAGATGCTGGAATTTCGAAATAGCTGATTGAATGTTGTAACAAAGAAAACGAATCATTGCAGTTAAATCATAACAATAAAGTTTAATGCCACAGGTGGATAGTATGACAAGTCGTTTAGTACAAATAAAAGAATACCAAACATTTGATGAAGTCGGACATCGAAATCAATTCCTGGTAAGAATTACACAACCATTTCTCGGTTTTGTGCGTGGAATTTTCTGTTCCAAGAATATCAATATTGATAAGCCAGATTTCGCTACAAATATTAAAAACAAGCAAATAGTAATGAAACATGCTGTTTTTGTTTTTAAAACGCATGCTTCACACACAAACACCGACTGTAAACGTTATTCGTGTGAATATGTTTCAGTCAAAGAGAGCCAAGCGAATGGTGTATGTGCAAAATGTAAGCCGATTCCGCTAGTGTCAACATGCTTGCGCTTCGTGTATACGGTATGTGTGTGTGTGTTTGATGAATCAGATTGCGTGTCGTCCGTCAATGCCGTACCATAGCAGCAATTCATTCATGCCATACGCATATATGCTTGAATGCAATGCGTTCGTTGCCGCACACCATTTGCTTTGTGTTTTGATTGTACATAATTCGCTTTCGTTTTCGGCCAAAAATTGAACAACCATCCAGCAAACCGTTGAAATACGAATTTAACATCGATTCACTTTAGTCATCGTAGAAACACGTTTCGACACGGACGCTACTTTACTTTTTCCGACTGAACTTATCTCGCATCGCGTGTGATAAATCCAAAATAAAATTATTAAAAACTTAAATCTTAATTCTGGAAGTCTATGTTTCTTTCTCAATTAATTTTCTTCTCGAACATTTGCAAGACTTCCCATTTGCAAAAACGGTTAGATTAACTGGCAAAAAAGTCAACAAATATTCGCGTGTTGAAAACGAAAAAATAAATATCGTTGAATTTTTGTGTCAAAGTATTATAAATAAAAACGGTCAATATAAACCCAACGAAATCGAGTATTTTTTTCGAATTGGCCGTAAAATTTGGCAGCCATCCGGTTGTTACAGCGAAAAGAAAAGAAGAAAGAAATTACGGTACGAAATTCTGTCCAAATTGTTATTTTCGGTGGTTTAAAAAAAAAAAATAAAATCTTTATAAGACTTTTAGCATAAAAATTCAAAAGGCGTTTAAGTTATTTAAATTCAAGCAAAGTGAGAGTGTTTGTGAACCAATTTTTTGTGATTTTGTTTTCTGGCTTCTGTCTTGTACGTGTTTCTCTTTCACTTATTGTATCACAGCCGTAGACGGAATTAATGTGATTTAGAAACGATGTTTTCCATTTTATGACAATGAACGGCACCATATGACAATGGATGACTTGAATTTTTTTTTTAAATATTTCATGTGTGTGTGTGTAAAATTAAATTGAATGCTGAAATAACCAAATTCAAACTATTGATCGTTTTCATAAAATTTTGGTCAATTTGAGACTTACAAATTGCCTTAAGCTAATGGGCGCTTAATTGACCCGAAGTTTGTCTGTTCGACTCAATATACATGTATTGCCAATGGAGCGGCTTAGACATTTTATTAATTGTGAGCGTCTCAAACAAATGAATATGGGTGTTAATAAAAACGATGCCAATTTTCTCGCCTCTGAATTTGGAATACCAGTAGTTTTTTCGACATTTTACCACTATCGCTTGTTATTGTTTTCTCTTTTTTTCGATGTACCATCGAAAATATTGCTAAATTTGAATCGTGTCTGTGTGTATGTTTGGAAAATGTTCGAAAATTGTGTTGTTCCATTTTTTCTGTGAAGTCCGGACCCATCCTAACATTGTACGAAACTCGCCTGCAATTTTTCATTCCATTCGCGTCGTTTTTTTGTGCTCGGCGTTTTTTTTTTTTCCATTCGTTTCAAATATTTGCGCTCTTGTTTCACGCTGATTTAGTCTACAATCGATTTGAATCAACATCGTGATGCTATTCTCTTTCATTCGGTCCCATCTCCCATGGTAACATTGAATATAAAGTGTAACAAAAATGATGATCACTTTTAATTTTTTTTTCTTTCTTCTACTACTAATTCTTCATCTTCTTTTTGTGATGGTTTCGACTGGAATTTGCATCCATGATTTATCGACTTGCGATGCAAAACAGATTGTGAAGATGAAAAAACAAGCACTTTACATCATTAGCGTGTGCGACTAACATATACGCAAACAAATAAGAAAAAAAAAATACCAAATACGAAGTGAGAATGAAAGAGAAACGCAAAACATAGATTTCTTTATCATGAAATAGACAATGAGATCGACGCTATTAAAAGTAATCATCTCGCACTTATTATTGCACAGAGAATGAATTACAGATGTATTAGAGTCGGCTGGAAATTAAAATCAGTGAGCTGCTGCAAATTAAAAATACCGCAAGTCAAACAATGGAAGTTTCGATTAATGTTGTGAAAATTACCATACGGCTTAAAATTGTATTTTTAGCGTTTCGTTAATTGGATGCGAATTATGATACGTCGTCAACACTTCACCGCAAATGAAAAGGCAAAAAAGTGAAACAAATTAAAATCAAAGAAGAGAGAAAAAAGCGACTACTGCTATTTCCATTAAATCATTGTTTAAATTGCTTTTTATTCGATGTTCTCGTGTGGAGAATATAAGTGGTGTGTTCTTGAAAAAAAACGAAGCACAAGTAAAATGATTTATATGTGTGTATAGTTGTTTGGTGCGGCGCATAACATATGATTCTTTTACTTTCTCATTATTATTTGGAAAATTGATAAACATATTAAATGGAATCGTGTGTATAACGAGAAAAAAAAATGTATTCAAGAAATGTGGTCTGATATTGTTGAACATACAATCAACAAAGCAATCGTCGGCTTGAAATGGTGATAAAAATACTTTTGATGAGTTTAACAGTGCGCCCGAGATGAAAAAAACCATTTTTTTCTCGCGAAATGAATGTGTGTGTGTGTGTGCGAATTTTGAAAGTCATTTTTCTAAATATAGTTTTTTTCTCATTTTGACATTGGGTGTACATCGTAACAATTCAACAAATCGAAGAAATTACTTTTGTATATATTTGCGTTCCGTGCAATGAATTCGATAACAATCAAAAACGATTTTTCACACACATTCACAGTACATCGCGCCCATAAACGCCATTGGAGTCACAATAAAAAAATGACTCGAAAAAAATTTCGTTTTCGTTGCATTCAAGTTCGCCACAAATCGGTTCCATTGTTTGATAACAATTCAACAGACACATTCAACTTACATTTTTTACGCGTTTGACTTTCAGATTTTGTCGAAAAGTAATTTTGTTTTTCTTTTATTTTAGTGTTTCTGTTTTTTTACACTGTCTTTCAAGAGCGCGAATTCAATCAAAACCTAATTATCGTCAATTGATAAGGAATATTTTAAAAACATTTGAACAAAATGATTCAATACGGGAGTGTGAGTCTGTCATTTAATTTCTTTTTTTTTTCTGTCATTCATTGTATCCTCATATATGATGCTTTGAATTAAAATGACTGTGCAAAACTCAACACTGAACGCCATGTGGCAAGTGATACGAACAAGTTGATTGAAATCAGTGGAATTTACAAACGTGGCATCAATTTTATTCTAATTTTATGATGTTGATGTTTCCGCGTTTCTCGTGTTGTCTTTTTTCCTCAAACCCAACTGACCCTCACTTAATTTCTGTTCAACGTTCACTTTTGACGACTACAAATTGAGCTAACAAAAAATAACAGAAAAAAAACAAACGAAGTTCGAACAGTTTGTGGCGAAAAAACTCTTCTTTTAAAGTTCATCTTGAATGCATGTGATTGTGTGTTTGATCGAAATGGTAAGCTTACCTTTTCTCACTGGAGTGTGCAACAAAAAGAAGAAAACCAAATCGTGTTGTGTGAAAACGATATGTGACTCTTTCTTCTCTGCTTCGATTGCAACGAAGTTCGTTATGAAGCTGACGTGAAAGTGCAAGTTTTTTGTTCATGTGTTGAGTGTTCGGGCGTTTGCATTTGCAAAAAAAATGTAGCCACAGAAAGCATATACCTGTATTTGACGCCATACTATGTAACATCACGACGTTATCAAAGAGCCGCTTCACACTAACCGCGCAAATATTTATTATTACAACAGATTACAAAAGTAGGAAGTAGAAGACTGTGTGTATGCATACGCGTTGCTTTGTTGGTTACTTTTTTGCTTCTCTATATACGCTTGTGGCTGCTGTTGTATGCCAATGCATTTATTGACGATTACAAGCAATTATCTTTCTTTCTCTTTGTTTTTTTTTTGTCTTTGTGTGTAAACATGATTTCATATCGCTTTGCCGTGATCAATGCATACGTTTTGCGCCGTTTACTTCTAAACCATCATCGATTTGGTCATTTTCATCTGAATTGAATGCGTTTATTTCTTTTTCTACTTCTTCCATCGACACATTTTCGATTTGAGCTTGCATCTCTCGTTGCATTTGTGTGCATTTCGCATTTTTGAGCTTTGTTCGCTGTAATTGAAACAATCATTTCAATTGATTAAGCTTTCTTCTTTTGCTAATAATAGAAAGACGTTTGCACGATTTGCAATTTGTGAAACTTAAGTTTTGCCGAATAGTTTGTAAAACTACTTATACAACAACAAGGTCAACATGGAAGGCATCTTCTTTTCAAATTGCTTTGTATAACGGAACAAACAAAAATTAATGAGAAATAATCAATGAAATAAAGTAGGAAAAAACGCTCCTCTTTTCTTTCAACTTTTTGATCAAAATAAAAGTTTTCGACGTTGATCAGAGTGAACTTTTTCTCAAATTGTTCACATCAGAATGTTTGCTCACTTCTCTCTTTCTCTCCCATTTTCACTCTCTCATTCCCGCCACGTACAATTCAATTTCAGTTGCACGTAAAAGCGTGAAAAAAATGAAAATGAGTTTTTTGTTCATTGAAAAATTGTTCGAATGAAATATTTTCTCGGAATTCTTATTTAAAATAAATATAAATTATCGAAAAGAAAAAAATCGCGTTTCTTTCTAATAAGTATTTGTTTGTAAATTTTTCTTCGTATAGTGAGAATATTTTCTGGAAACAATTTTGTGATCAAAGGCAGCAAAAACGTGCATCTCTGACCATGAATATGTTCGACAAGAAATGATTGCTGGCAAGTGCAAAGTTTAGAAGAAATATGATGCAATTTATTAAAATAGAATAAAAAGGGGCGATGCGAAACACTTATTTTATAAATACAACGGAGGTGATACACCCTCGTCCATATACTATCGAAGCATCGATGTAGCAAAACTTTTATCGGTCGGGTATCTCATTGAAAGTCATAAAAAAAAGTAGAAAACAATTTCCTTCGAAAGAGGTGCGAAAGACCCAAATGCGTGTGTTTTTAAACGAATAAATCGTTATACTTGCATGAAAATACACCATGTAACAAACATAATTGTGTAACAAATCACAGGGCTCCCAGATAATAACCACCCAAATGCCCGAGCAAAATGAAAACGACGAAATGCACAAAAAAATATAACCACAACAAATGTCTGCGAAACACATTTTAATTTATAAATTACCAACAATGACAACCACACCGACGTAAATTTACACAGTAAAATGGTTCTTCTCTGGTTTGCGTTTGTTGTTTTTTTTTTTGTTCCTGTGTTTGTTTACCTGAGAGCACTTTATCACAAAGCATAAAATTGCTTTGTGTGTCAGCGCGATGCTGGTCTCGCGCGAGCTCAACATTACTTTTTATACTTATGAAACCGTGTTCGATTTTATGCTTTACCACATCGAACCATTTATTTTACGGTTATTTCTCTCTCTCTCTCTCTCTCTCTCTCTCTCTCTCTCTCTCTCTCTCT